AAAAAAAAAAAAAAAAAAAAAAAAAAAAAAAAAAAAAAAAAACAAAAAAAAAACAAACCAAAAATATTCAATTTTTGTTGTGGGAGCTTCAGGTGTGCGTTGTGTGTGTTCTGTGTGTTTGGGGTGTTCTGGCCGTGTTGCATTGTGGGCTCTATGGCTCTGCACTCTGGTTCCTATCGAATCTTTACCCCAACTCCAAGTGTTATCCGATCCCCATATTACTATAATTAATTACGGCGTTCGTTCGTCTCTTTGTTCGTTCGTCTTGTTGTGGACTTGTCAAATGGATGTCCAATAACAATTGTTTCCACTAATATTACGCCTATTTACATTTGTTTTTCTTTAGCTACATAGAAAACTAATTATGATATAGGAGATATGAACATATACAATCAACAGTTTTTGAGCTAATATGGGAAATTTTAGATTTATATGTTGGAACTGAAACCTGAGATTTTCTAGTATTATAGTGGGGAGCGGGACGACAGATGAATAGAATCATAGAAACCATTTGGCTCAACTAAATTTGCAGAAACTTAGAATATTCTCGATGTGGTTTGATTTTTACAATTATTCGACATTCGAAATATTCATCCAATCTATTCTAATCGATAATATAACGGATTAAAAATGCATATACATTTAACTATTTAAGTTTCTAGCTTTCAATCGAACTAGATTAAGAATATTTATACATATATGTACTATGGAGTACGATAACATATGGATATTCCTATAGATCGATTTCAATAGATTGAATTTTGCTCTCCAATAATTTTGCCCAGTATAAAATCAACTCAAACTGATTCTTGTTGGGTTGAGGTTTATATAAGTAATACACATAATCTCACTGCCCTATCAAAGGGATAGATTTCACGAGATCTATATAAAGAATACACATAATCTCACTGCCCTATCAAAGGGATATCCATAGATCTCGTGAGGTCTATATAAAGAATACTCATAATCTCACTGCCCTATCAAAGGGATATCCATAGATCTCGGTGTTTGTATGAGTGAGATCATAATGAGACTGAACATCATCTATTCCATATGTCAACATCGTTCTGCCATATATTATTAGGTCAAATAATACATAGCCTTTGACTTATCAATTCGAATGAGAAGAGCCTTGGTCAACAGCTGTGCGCCAGATCTGGAGTCTCGGTTCTTTTCCCAAGTAGTGCAAGTCTGCAGCAGTTGCTGTTGATTGTGGAGCTTATGGCTAAGCAACAATGCTTCTTTGTATTGTTTAGTTATGCCGCTAATTACATGTATCACATGTCAATTAATTAGCCTCAAATTATTGCATTACATTACAGCTAATTGCGAATATAAATTGCAGAAACTCTAGGAATACGGCAGGTAGCAAACGATGTATGTTATTATTCAAATGCATTTTTGCTGCTCTTACACACTCTTATATGGGGTATATGTACAAAATGGCCTTGGCTTAACTGTAGTTCCTATAGCAACTGTCTCGACGCGAAACGAAACACTTAAAGCTATTTACAGTTATCTTAACACACACTACGCAACGATGCTAAGACGGACACAACAGACACAACTGACAAATATGCCTCATAGACAACATTTAATGGGGAACTGGACTGCAGCTCTACGGCCAGCGAGACAGGGTGAAGCCTCTGTCAATAGCTTGGCGCAGGCACAGTTCCAAGGGCCCTCGCTCGTCCGTTAAGTACTGGGCATATTTACAATCAGTTAACACTCTATCGATCACGCACACATACAGACATACACACACGTAAACTATGCATTAATGGTTTGGCTGAATGTTTCGATTCAGTCCGCCCAGCTTAATCCAATAAGTTCAGGGCAGTTCTACAATATGATAGGCCCGCTTCTTACCGTTGTGGACTTGGCGCTGTGCGAGGCAGCAACAGCTGCCGTGGCCGCCGCGGTCATCATGTGTCCAATTTTGGCCGTACGCAGATCGGGGCCAGCGAATGGATCAGCGGAATTGCTGCCGGTATCGTGGCCGGTGGCGACCGAGGATGTGGAACTGCCGACGCCATAGACCGAAGAGCATGCCGTATAGCTGTCATTGAGCGATACATAGCCGGCCTCCACTTTGCGCTTGTGCTCGTCCAGAGTGAGCGTGAATGGGCCGCCAGCACCCGCGGCGCCTGGACCATTCGACGGCATGGCGGCGTATTGTGAGTGCTGCTGTTGCCGCAGTTGCTGCTGCTTGGCAGACTGCTCCAGCATGGAAAAGTGCAGCGGATCATCGATTAGGAACTCTTTAACAGCGCCCGATTCAATGGCAACGGCCAGGTGCTGCTTCTGTTGTTGCTTCTGCTTCTGCATCTGCTGACCACCGAGAATGTCCAGCGGCTGTTCACATTTGAAGGTCATGGGCTTATCCTTGTGCTGCGCATCCGAATGTAGCTCCTTTTTATCAATATTATGTGTGGTTTATATTTTTGTTTCGATTTTGGTTATACAAGAAATAAAGAATTGCACAAAGTTTAATATATATATTGTTGTTGTTGTTGTTGTAACGCTTGTTTCTTGATTGAATTGTAAATATTGCCCAGTTCTTAAAACGCGTTTAATTTTTCTTGTTTTTCTTTTTTACATTCACCTCAACTTCACACATACACACACACAAACCGATTTTACCGACAACCTTCAATCATGATTGATGTGAATTGTTAATTGTTAAATTGTTCATTGTTAATGATAGTGTTAGAGCAAGAGCAGAACAACGCATAGAATAAACAACATTTAGTTGGGTTAAAATTTTGTGTGTTTTTCTCTGGGAAAGATTTTTGGTTATTTTGGTTTGGCAAATGGGATATGTTATGAGATGAGAGCAATGGGTGAGCTTGAATTGATTTGATTAATACTCTAATTGAATTATCTCTTTGGGCAGCCCTTAGAGAAACGAATGTGAGGACTCCCAGCTCCTGCAACAAACTAAAGACTATGAGAGAGAGAGAGAGAGAGAGAGAGAGAGAGAGAGAGGGAGAAAGAGAGAGAGGGAGAGAGAGACAGATGATGGTGATGATGATTATGTCTTTAGTAGACTGTTCAGGCCCTCAACCAATATTGACACAAATGGCATGATACGGTCTTATATGGATAGTTAAGCAAATGTTTGTGTTTGTGTATACTGTTGTTATTGTTGTAGTTGTTGTTATTATTGTTGAATAAGCTTATATTAAACAAAATTGTTGCAGTCATATTGACCTCCCACATAGACATACATATTCCTTACCTCCTGCTCATAGATTTGGCCGCCAGCGACATCGATGGCCACGCCATCCTGATCGAACTGCACGACCATGTTGCCAGTCTCATTCAGCTGACTGGGCAGGCTGTTGCTGCTGTTGTTGTTGTTGCCGCCGCTGCCGCTGCTGCTGCTGTTGTTGTTGCTGTTACCGTTGCGATTGTTTTTGCTGCCACTGGCATTGACACCGCTGAGCACCATCTGCTCGCCAACGTTCAGCTTCTGCTTAATATCCATATTGGCCTCAAAGTTGACGCTGCTGGGCAAACTGCCGCCTTCGCGCTGTCGCGCCGACACAGACGAGTTTGAGTTGATCTTGAATTTTTTCAGGACCAGAGTGGCGTTTTGGTTGTTGCTATTGTTGCTGTTGCTGCTGCTGCTGCTGTTGTTGTTATTGTTGTTGTTGTTGTGCTGTTGGCGTCGATTGGCTCGAGCGTTGCTGCTGTTGCCGCTGCTGCCGCTGGCGCCACTCAGCTGATAATCACAGTTGAAACGTTGGGTTGCTGCCGCTGTCGCCGCCGCCGCCGCCACTGACGTCGTTGCCAGCTCGCTGCGATGCGTCGCCTCCACTAAATCCTGCAAAGAGCCGAACTGTCTATGACGCTGTGATGCCGTCCGATGGTTGCTATGATAGCCGCCACTGCTGCTATATGTATTGTTGTTGCTGTTGCTGCTATTGTGCGCACCAAAGTTGCTGCCGCCGCTGCCTACGCTACTACTGTGGCCATAATAGCCGCTGGACGTTGATGATGATGATGCGGACGTGTTGCGTGTTAAGCAGTTTTTAATGACACGACGATAAGAATTCTCCTCGTCGTACTCAGCCTTCTTAAGCATTTGCTATAAACAATATGCAGCAGCGTATTAACATGGTGATCTACTTGGATCAACTAAACAACTGCTTACCAGAAAACGCTCGCTTTTGTTTTTTCTGTCGCTAGGGCTGCGATACCAATAGGCCTCCTCGAGCAGTTTCTTCAATGATGCGTCGTCGAGATCATTTATTTCGCTATCCTCCCAGGGATCGTATTTTGTCTGCAAATTAGTTGAAACATTTTCATTAAATCGTGCTGCGCATTCGTGCATAACCTCAACAACACTTAGTGCCAAAGCAACGGTATTTACTGGAAGTATGTATGTATGAGATGAACAGGGCTGTAGTGCCTGGAAATGTAGCGTGCGGCTTGGCTAGCAGCTTTGACTACAATTTCAAGTTGAGCCCGCTTCTTGCCGCTGCAACACTTTGCTCGGGTTAATAATTCTAACACACAACGCACTTGGGCTACAGTTTTTATAGTTGTGCGTGAACACATACACAATCATTTACCTATTTATGTACATAAATATGTACATACAATATTTGTACATATATGTACGTTTTATGTAGATATGTCAGGCTCAAGTCACAGAAGGCGCACACACAACACACACGAGTGCAATAAATAAAATAAAATAAATTAAACACAACAAATTTAAATGCGTGTGGTTAGGTCTAGTGCGGCGGCTGCGGCGGCGCCACAGAACAAAACGCTTGACGATAGGAGGTTCATACAATTGTGGTTTGGTTTTCTCAACAAACTCGAAAGAACAACACAAAAACAAAAACTATTAAAATAAAAGAGAGAGAGATACAAGAAATTGAATTTATCAAATAAAATAAACCAAAAATTGTTCAATGCGATATGAAACGCGTTCGGCCTGCCGATCTGCAAACTTGCATTACACTGAGGCACGCCACAGTGACAAAACAATATTGCGTGAGTGCGTATGAGTGTGTGGAATGGAAGGAGCTGATAGATAACGGCATTTCTCCATAACCATTCCAGGCGAACAGTGTACGCAAATGAAATGAAAAATGCCCCTTCTGATAATTGCGATCTTTTTCTAGTGGCCATTGCTGCTGCTGCTGCTGCTGTTATTGTCGCTGTTGCCTGCTGCCAGACGGCCGAATGTCTCAACTAAAGTAACGGGTTCTTTTCCCATTACTCTGTAATGCGCAGAATTTGCGCGAAACAGAGACGTTCAATAACAGACAATAAATACGAAATAAATATCGAAACGAAATAATGAAATGAATGATTGTGTTGCTATTAATTAAGTTTATAGTTCTCTCTCTTCATCAATTTGTGTATGTTAACTAAATAACTTTTTTTTTTAATCAATATACAATATTTTATATGTACACAAATTTGAACTATGGTCGTGCGTAGACACATGCAAACCAAACATACATACATTCAATATACACACTATGTATGTACATACATGCATACATATGTATGAGTGTCTGCACATGTTAGTTTTGATGTCGATATTTATAGAATGTTTGTGCGATTTTTATTGGATATGTAATTTAAAAATCTTTCAAAGAGAAATACATACATACATATTTATGTACATATGTATGACGTGCGACGACAGTGAAGCGAAAACATACATACATATGTTTGTACATGCGTACATCATGTACATATGTATGTGTATAGGACATACATACATGCATATACATTGGAATGTATGTACACATGTACATATATATTAACAGCTATACCTGCATGTGTGTATGTATTTTGTGCGTGTACAAAATAATTGCAAATGTCCGCTGGAAATGGTCGAACCACAACACACATACACACACAGAGGCAGAGTCGCAAATTCTTTTGGAAATGAACAGTGCACGAAATAAATCTAATAAACAAAAAGAAACGGAGGAAAGAGAATGGAGTTAAGTTTAGAAAATAGGGCAACAAAACGGAAAAGGAAATTTACAGTGAGTAGAAACTGCAAAATACAACAAAAAATTTGATTTACGTGAATTTCAATGTCATTAGAGAATTAGCCGTTGCCTGCGACAGTTTAGACTCAAATTATTTGAATTGTCACGAAGGATTATCGATACATGTACATACATATGTATGTATGTACATTTGTATGTGTGTACAAAATGTTTGCTTATCTGTTTGTTTAGATGCATTTATTGCTTTGCTTAGCTTACGTACCCTTTTATTCTTTTGACGCTTGCCCACATTTTGGTCATCCTGGGTTTTGCCTTTGGTGGTGGCGCCGCGTCGCTGATGCAGCGCCGTTGCCGCGGCAATCACCTCTGGCGCAGGTTGGCCCGATTTACTAAGCAGCGGCGTCAATTTTAAATTGTGGTGTGCCGTATTTGCAGCGCTGTCCTGGCCGGCAGCGCTGCAGGCACCACCTTCCCCGCTGCTACTGTTGCTTTTCTTATCAACAGCCGCCACATGATTCTGGCTAAGATCAACGACAGCCGCCGATGGACTACTGTTATTATTGTTGCTGTTGCTGTTGTTGTTGTTGCTGCTGCTGCTGTTGGTGTTGTTGGACAGATCGTTGGCGGGTCGCTGCTCCAGCTTTACATTGTGCGACATCAAGGTGGTTAGCTGCTCCTGGAAATAGGGCGTCGGCGTCGTCTTAGTCGATGTGGTTGTCGAGGTACTCTCACTCAACGTCCCGGCGGCAATCGAAACGATTGGCGTATCAGGAATAATAGCCTGGATTTTCGTTACCAATGTGGCAATATTGCTATCTTTATCCTTGGCGTTGCCGGCGACGACGGTGGCGGCGCTGCCTGTTGATATGGCCTTGATGAGTTGCGCAGCTGCTGCGCTGCTATTGCTAGCAGATGCAGTTGCACTTGCTGTTGCAGTTGCACTTGCTGTTGCTGTTGCAGATGTGGATATTGTGGATGATGATAAGGTTGTCGCTGATGATGATATTGATGAAACACCAATTTGTTCATTGTTCATCTTTTTTGGCATCGAACAAACAACGAAATGCCATTAAAATTACAAAAGCACACACAAATGACAGTTGTCAGTTCCGAAACAAAACCTGGCAATATAAAAAAACAACAACAACAAAATAAATGAGACATATATATATACCCATACCTACTTATATGTACATGTGCACAAGAGGAGAGTATAAACTACGATAGAGCTTATAAACACACTCTCTGCATTTGTCTCTCGCTCTCGCTTGCTCACACTTCACGCTCTTTCCCTCACACTCCTAATTCCCAGTTAACGGTTACTTACCAAATAGATTTCCAATAGGGGATGTGGGATATGCTCTGCAGATCCCAATGTCCTAGAAAAACAGCTGTCAAGGCCACCGACGCGCGTGTTAGCGCCGCAGCCAGTGGCACCCAGAAGGGCACCGTTAATGCTGTTAAGCTCGCTCTTCCGTTCACTCTCGTTGCGCTTGTCGTTGTTGTTGCTGTGGTTGTCCTGAATGGAACGTTGCCCAATTGCAACTCGCGTTGTTTTATGTCTGGCGTAAGTTTTTTCGTTCTTTTTCTTTCTCTCTCATACACACACGCAATTGTCGCTATTGTTTATTTGAGAACGTAAATGAACTGTAGAACTGTTGTTGTTTGTTTTTTTTTTTTTAGTAAAACTTAATGATGTACAAATGCCGCTTGCTTACGCACTGTAGTAGTTTGTGTTGATTTTGCTGATTTTATGATTTTATGCTTTTTTTCTCTCTGCTCGTTCTCTTATTATCTCTCCTTGTTAGTTGAATTGTTGATTTTTCGCCTTAATGCAGTTGTCAGTCCGTCAAACGAAGGCAACCAGTTAAATTGCTTTAAAGCGGAGCAACCTTGTCACTACCATTTGAATTGAAAACACTCACATTGCCGACACCGCATCTGCACATTATCAAACATTAAAGCAAAATAACAGAAAAAAAATATAGATTTAATAAATGAAATGCGACTTGTCAAAAAAATCATTTGCCTTGCAAAGCCGCGCAGTGTTGCCAAATAGAGATGTGCGATATTCACATGCCTCTCATCTCTAGATGCAAAGCGAAATTTACATACGGTCATATTTCGTGGCCGATGTTATTTTTGGCACATACACTCGCACACAAACTATCTGACTAGATATTTAAATTATCGAATATATTGGTTTTGCGTTAAAATTAAATGATATAGGTAGATCACAATGTGTTTATGAATTGCCAATTGCCGCTTGGAAGTTGGGAAGTTGGAAAGTTGTTTGCACATGCGTTGGCAGCCCTGGCATTCTGTTGTCAGTGGCAACACTAGCGCAAACACGTCATTTTGCCACACAGTTTTTTTTTGTTGTAGCAATTTACAAATACGTTCTATTAGCATGAGCAGCGCTACACATACGATGCGCGCTCACGCACACATGCATGCATATTCTGTATATGTATCGACAAGTACACATGTACATATACACAAATGAGCTCATATATGGACAAACAGTGCTTACTTTGCACTTTTAATTTGTTGTTAAACGTTGAGCGAATTGTTTTTTCTTCTGATACATACGCAATGCACACAAACACTCGCATACACGCACGCACACGCACTTGCTTATGCACCTTCCACTACACATATGTATGTGTGTACATTTTTCTGACCTTCTCTTGCACATAGCGAAAAAAATACATATATTGCTGTAGACGGTCCAGCGTAAGCACACACACGCATCGATAACGTTAACAATTCATCATATGTCCATAATTTAAATGCACAACTTTGAAATTTATGTTTAATTACACATGAAACGTAAAAATTCTGAAAAGAACGAACACTTTAGAGCGCAGTTGTTTTGCTTTACAACACTTTCGCAGGTCTTTCACAGCACTATTGGCGACTTATGAGGTAATCGAATACTTGCCCGATAGAAATAGCCGTAATACAACTCTGGGCATTGACACTGCACTCCGCACACTTTTGCGATATTAAGACTTTAAAAGCCTTATTATCAACTAGTTTAGCTTGTAAAACTGAAATGAAACTCTTATAAAAAGTCAAATCTGTAGTATTTCGTTTTTATTTTTCTAGTATCGATAACGAAAATTTTACTCGGATTTCATTAAGGTAATATATCGATATCCTAGCCGAGGCAAAAGCACTATCGATTTCGAGGCGTCACTTTGATCCTGACTGTTTTGCGACGCGGAGCGTTTTGCGAATAGCTGAAATAAAATTCTGAATTCCTATGAATATAACGAAATGAAGACCAAATACGAATTCGACGATGATGTTTCATCAATTTGTGAATCGACGGTAATTATCCAGCAATTAACTAACAATTTTCAGCCAACAAAAATCAAATAGAGTACAACTGCAACGGCCAAGTATAGCCCTCTCGCTCTAACCTGCGCTCCATTTTGATTTTTTTTCTTTTTTTTTTTTGTGCGCGTCGTTTTTCTTTTTTTTTTTTGTGTGTTGCACTTTAACTATAATAATTGTTGATGCTTATAACAGGCCGCCTTGACCGAGGGCTGTCGTCTGTCCGTGCGCATGCACAAAACCGACGATTGGCCTTTGGCTGAGATTGTTAGCATCAAAGAGCAGGACGGGAAGCGTCAGTTCTATGTGCACTATGTGGACTGTAAGTAAACATCAATAACAAATAAAAACAATTGTAAGTGAACATTGCGACGCCTGCACAGTTAACAAGCGTCTGGACGAGTGGGTCAACGAGGATGACTTGGATACGCGCAAGGTGCAGTTCCCACGGCGCGACGGGCCGCAAACTGGCACCAGTACGGGCGTTACCACGCCCAAGCGCCACCATTCGCTGGCAGGCAGTGTGTCGCGCCCGACATCTCCGCAGCCGCAGAACGCCGGCGGCCTCAGCGGTGCCATCGCTGGCGGCTCCATGGCCAACTCTAACAGCGGCACTGAGCTGGTCAATGGCAATAATGTGCTAGCTGCTGCACTGCAGAAGCGCATTAATCGTCGTCGCAAGGTGCACGGACCGCATCACTCGCAGTCGGTGCAGCAGCAGCAACAGGCGCAGGCGCAGCAGCCACAGACGCCTCAGACTCCGCAGACGCCTGTTCACGTGACAGGCGATGGCGGATTGTTGCCCACAACTTCTTTGGGCGCTGCTGCAGCTGCTGGGAATGACGACGCCTCGCAGGACGGCAAGATGGCAACGCCTCGCCAATCGGGCAGCATGGTCACCCACCAGGATGACGTGGTCACGCGCATGAAGAACGTTGAGATGATCGAGCTTGGCCGCCACCGCATCAAGCCATGGTACTTCTCGCCTTATCCACAGGAGCTGTGCCAGGAGAGCTGCATTTACATTTGCGAGTTCTGCCTGAAGTACTGCAAGAGCCGCAAGTGCCTGGAGCGCCACTTGTCCAAGTGCAACCTCCGCCACCCACCGGGCAATGAGATCTATCGCAAGAATACAATCTCGTTCTTTGAGATCGATGGGCGCAAGAACAAGGTCTACGCCCAGAACCTTTGCCTGTTGGCCAAGCTATTCTTAGACCACAAGACGCTCTACTATGACACTGATCCGTTTTTGTTCTACATCATGACTGAGTTTGACTCGCGCGGCTTTCATATTGTCGGCTACTTCTCCAAGGAGAAGGAGAGCACTGAGGACTATAACGTGGCATGCATCTTGACCATGCCGCCATATCAACGCAAGGGCTACGGCAAGCTCCTCATCGAGTTCAGCTATGAGCTGTCCAAGTTCGAGGGCAAGACCGGCTCGCCGGAGAAGCCGCTTTCCGACTTGGGCTTGCTATCCTATCGCTCCTACTGGGCCCAGACCATACTTGAGATACTGATTAGCCAGAACGCTGGCGCAGATGGCGAGAAGCCCACCATAACCATCAAGTATTTGCAATGCTATATATTTATCTATTCCGATTATTCACTTTTTCTCGCTTCCAGCGACATCTGTGAATGCACCTCTATTAAGAAGGAGGACGTTATCTCCACTTTGCAGAATCTGAATTTGATTAACTACTACAAGGGTCAGTACATTGTCTGCATTTCGCGCGAGACTATTGAACAGCATCAGCGCGCCATGCAGAAGCGCAAGATTCGCATCGACTCCAAGTGCCTTCACTGGACCCCCAAGGATTGGTCCAAGCGCTCCAAGTGGTAACTAAAGTCTCGCTGCTGCTTCGCGCCAGGCTAACACGCTAATCCCTGACAACTCTCTCTCTCTCCTAGAATACGCCCCGCCGGCTGCCTGCGCCCGCGCTTATTTGCTAAACTAATCATTTAACCCACCGAGAGTACAATGAATTCGTTTTTGGCTTGCACATATGCAAGCATTTATCATAGAATGAAAATATTATGTTCCTTATAGTTTTTAATTTTGTTTTTATTTTTTATCATTATCATATATTACAAATATATAAATCTGTTATGGAAACAGTTGGCAACAAAATATTAGATTGATTTATTTTGCACATCTTTGACCAAGGCGGGAATCACTTCCCGATAGCTGCTGTCTCCACGCACTTTCTTCCACACTTTGCTCATTGGAAAGAGTAACGCTTATTCCATGCAACTGAACGTGTGCGACGCTATTGCTGTACTCTTCATTTCCAGTGTCGCGCGCATATGAGCATGTCAGGTCTTGTCGACTAGGTCCCATTCCCATTTTAGCATAGCCAAAATGGCACGCATGCTCTGCTGCTTGAAAGTTTTTGTTTTGTGCAAAACTGCTTACAAATACAATAAATCAATAATCCTCTATGTCACGAACATCCGTGGTTTTGCGATAGTCTAGTAGTATTAGTATAATAATGTGTTCTATCAAAAAAACAAAATATTATTTGCAAATTGGTGTTTTAAATTCGATTTCAATGATGGCAAAGATCATCGAAAAGCATATTGATATCGAATATCGAAGCTTGTGGAGGGGATTAATATGTATGCATGTATATCTTTATTTTGTATTTTTATGCTTATCATGTATGTACATATGTATGAGTATATATTCCTTGAAGGTACTAATTGTAATATATTGCGAGTTATTAATTCGGCGGATCGGCGATCATTTGATCCATTGCCGCCAATGTAGAGAGCTGAAATCCATTTTCCACATTCTGGATCATGGTGTGCAGCGATTTGAACGCTTCTCGGTTTTTGGTGAATTTGTGTTGATTTGAGAGTTTGTTGCGTGGTCGATGATGGTTTTCCAGCTGCTGTTTGCACTCCTCCAGAATTTGAATGTCCAATTCGGTGGGTCGCTTTTCACTGGAGAGAGCGTTGCTTACTTCTTCTAGCTGACCGGGTAGACTTGCCACACGCGCGGCGGCTATTTCAGAGCTCTTCGCTTCGAGTAGCTCGCGCAGGTCAACATTTTTGCTCAAGCTGACCAGGCTTGTGTATTCTCGCTGATATTCCCGTTTGGCTTCGACAAAATGGCGCGCATGCTCTTCGGTTTGACGGTGCATATTTTTGGCTTGCTCTGTGTAGCGCTTGAGAGATTCTAGATGCAGCAGATACTGGACATCTTCGAGGCCATTGTTGGTACTATTTTCTGTTGTCATTGTATATATGTATGTATATAGTTTCAAAAACAAAATTAAATTTAATAAAGATTTTTGAGCTTGTGTTTGTATTTAAAAAAGCACAGCTGGCTTACTGACGACAAATTCCCGACGTTATCGATAGACTGTTAGGTATCGTAATAAACTGTCAATGCTGTTCCATTTGAGTAGTCAAAAATATAATACTGAGATAATGTATGTATTTACAAAATAGATTTAATTAAGTAGTCTACAGTAATGAGTATGGCCAGTGTGATTACTCTCAATGCACTGAAACTTAATATTGAAATACATGTGTATACGCACGGGATGCAATACAATGAAATTATAAATAATTATGTTAATGATTAAACAATTTTGGATACAAACATTTTTTTCTTATTCTCTTTTTTATTATAATATAGTTGTTTTATGCTTCAGATATGGTTTTAAAGCTCCAACCGGGTCCTCTGCCACATATCGATAGCTAATCTATCGCTAAATTGTCTGGCCGATGGTTGATAAGTGCTGCCAGATGGCAGTCAAACACGTGTTGCCGGCTCATTGAATAAACACAAAGCACGGAATTCTAGGAGCTATAAATTTTGCTTAAATATTCGAAAGAAATAGAAGTGAATAATACTAGAGACTAGCTCAATGGCGCGTGGCAAGAAACAGAATCCATTTGCAGCTAGAAAACGACAAAAGCGTGCAAATGTAAGTCAATATTAATGTAAACACAGTTGCAAGTCGAACTTGTTGAATACATTTTCTTTATTTCTGTTCTCGGTACCTTGAAGGGTGCTCCGGAGCGACCGGATCGACGTGCCGAGCCCTATAAGGAAATCGAGCGCGACAATGCGGCCTTCATTAAGTACTATCACCTGCAGAATATCTGTGCCGATGAGGAGGAATGGACACAATTCTTAGCCAGCATTCGGGAAAATCTGCCCACCACATTTCGTGTAACCGGCTTCAAGGATGAAGCCAAGGCGCTGTTAAACATAATTAAGACGCAGCTCTTCACCGAGTATGTGCGCGCTGTGGCGGAACTGCACGAGCTGCCCCCCGAGCAGGTGGAGCGCCCCCTCTGCCTGCCCTGGTATCCAAACGGAATGGCCTATCAGCTGCACTTGACTCGGAAGGACATTCGCCGCTCGGAGCCGCTGTTCCGGCTGCACAACTTTCTCATTGTGGAGACAACGGCAGGTAGCATAAGTCGCCAGGAAGCGGTGTCCATGATTCCGCCCCTGGTGCTTGACGTTCAGCCAACGGACAAGGTGCTGGACATGTGCGCCGCGCCTGGATCAAAGACGGCGCAGCTCATCGAAGCCCTACACGCTTCGCCGGAGCAGCACAAAATTCCTCCTGGATTCGTATTGGCCAACGATGTGGACAACAATCGCTGCTATATGCTGGTCCATCAGGCCAAACGCCTGAACTCCCCCTGTCTGCTGGTGACCAACCACGACAGCAGCTTCTTCCCCAACCTGCTGCAGACGGATGAGGCCACCAACAGCAAGAGCATTCTGAAGTTCGATAAGATCCTGTGTGACGTGCCCTGCTCCGGCGATGGTACGCTGCGCAAGAATCCGGATATCTGGATGAAGTGGAACCTGGCTCAGGCTTACAACCTTCACGGTGTCCAGTATCGAATTGTGCGCCGAGGCGCCGAAATGTTGGCCGTCGGTGGACGTCTGGTGTACTCCACTTGCTCGCTGAATCCCATTGAGAACGAGGCGGTGCTGCAGCGTATTATTAAGGACTCGGAGGGAGCCTTGGAGCTGGTGGATGCCTCGCACCTGGTGCCGGGTCTCAAATACAAGCCGGGCATGACCGACTGGAAGCTGGCCACCAAGGAGGTGGACGCCATCTATACTTCCTTTGACCAGGTGCCCGAGCAGCTGCACACAATCATTCGGCCGACGATGTTTCCCCTACCCGCCGCGGAGATGTCTCAAATCGGCATAGAGAAGTGCATGCGGGTGCTGCCCCACTTGCAGGACAGTGGCGGCTTTTTCGTGGCCGTCATCGAGAAGCGGCGTCCGCTGAATTTCGAGAAGAATGACCTAGAGGATTTGCTGAAGAAAGCTGAACAGCTGGAGAAGCCAGCGCAGTCGGAGGCTCAGCTCGACGAGTCGGGCAAGCCGGTGGAGGAGGAGAAGTCTGTGCCGTGGGGACCACAACGGAAGCGCCGACGCCTCCATGGCTACAAGGAGGATCCGTATGTGTTCTTTGGCGAGGATGATGCTGACTACGAGAGCATACGGCAGTTCTACCAGCTGAATGAGACGCTCAACAAGCGCTGCCTGCTCACTCGCTGCCAGACGGAGCGCAAGAAGAACATCTACTACTGCTCCGACCCAATAAGGGATCTGGTGATCAATAACGAGAACAACATCAAGATCATCAACACGGGCGTGAAGACGTTTGTGCGCTGCGAGAATCGCCATACGGTGCATCCGTATCGCCTGGCCCAGGAGGGTCTGCAGACGTCGAATGCCTTCATTGGCAGCAGTAGACGCATCCAGGTGGAGCGCGAGGATTTGATCCTGCTGCTGAACTGCACAGATCCAACGAAGCCGCCGTCGACGCTTGAGCTGAAGCCAGAAACGCAGCAGCGTTGCAAGGAGCTAGGTAAGTAAAGTAGATCCATATTCCATGTGGAGCCATTCCACTCATGCTTCTTGATCTTTGCTCTGCAGGCGTGGGCAGCTGCATCCTGAAATACGTGGACGAGGCGTTTACACTCTTCATTGTAGGCTGGCGTGGCACTTCCAGCCTGCGCGCCTATGTTGATCGTGATGAGACGATTCACATTCTGCGCCTCCTGGGCGCCGACCTAAGCAAATTTGAGGTCAACAAATACGAAAAGGCAAAGGAGGCGGCCGCTGCGGCGGCTGCGGCTGCAGCGGCTGCGGGCGATGCTGCCGAGCAGAAGAATGACGAGACGGAAGAAGTGATGGAGAGCTCAGAAAAGGAGTAGCACATACTCATATTATAATTAAATATATAACTATCTGACAAATTTGTATATCGAGTTTGAATAATGAAACTTCGTCAATTACCCAATTCAAATGTTGTTTGATGCGCTTTTTTTTGCAAATGAAGCATGGTCACACTGTGCGTGTAGCGGGCTAATGAAATGAACTGAAGCGATTGATGAGAAAAAAATAAAGTAAAATTATGAAAAGTAACACTAACCATATGTTTAGTGAAAGTAGACAATTGATAATATATTTTTGTGTGACGACACAATGTTCATTCGAGTTTATTATAGCTTACCGTATTGTTTAACTTTGCGAATTTGAGCTTTTTGTTGTATGGTCACACCATTTATAAAATGGCGTTGGATGTGTGTGGACCGAAACGCTTTGCGCGCTTTGCTTGTTGCCTGCCGCTTTGTTAAATACAAATCTTCCAATTCAAGTGATTATACAAATCTATATATACTTACATATATATATACATACATATGTGCATGCATATATGGTTTTGTCTTAAGTGTGTGATAGCAAAACGCGTATGGTCAAATACTCAAATCAATGGCTAAAATTCGCGTACACTCGGGGACAAGGCAACGGTAAATATAAAAATACATACATACATGCATACGTATGAAAATTGCGCTGCTTTAAACATGTCTGAGGAACTTAAAAGCAATAAATGGTTAAATACATTCATTCATATTTAATGAAACAACATAATAACATTGCTTTTCTTATAGAGTGGCTTTTATTATTTCTAATGCCAAGAATATGCCTGTTTTTAAATGTGGATCGTGTGTATTTTAACGATATTTTTAAAGGGATGCCATTCGCCCCGCGAGCAGTTGGTATATATCGGTAAGAAACAATCGCATGTACTAGAAATGGATTTTCAAATAATCATTGAAAATCGAAATATCGATTAAATTGATTACAATATTAAACCCGTTATTTTCGCAACGGAAAGTGATATGCAAATACACAGTTATATTGATTTCCGTACATTTTATTAGAAGTACTTTTGAATTAACATATAAACATAAAATCAGTCTCTTGATTTGTTAGCCCTGTGTTTCTTATGGCATATTGGTATCAGTCTTGTTCGGTAGCTCAATGATATTTTCCGTAAAATTGTGCTGCAATCATGCAGAATGTTTCAGCAGCTGTAAATGATCGTTCTTGAATTTTCTTTAAAACTGCATGACGGGGGGGCTCAGCACTTCTTTTCGGATTATATCTTGATGAATTAGAGTATAGGTGATTTGGGCTATTTGTATGTGCAATGCGCAATGCTCAATACATAATATTATTAATACAATTAAGGATAACGCACACAGACGTATTTTGTTAAACAATGAAAATAAAGTTTTGTTTTATTTCAAACAGTAACAACAATATGAGTAATTTAATCAAACGATAGAATAAATTTAGTCATATTGTTGTTGGAAATGTATGAAAACTTTTTTTTCATCATTAAAAAAGTATGCGTTATCTTTGAGAGTATTGATATTAGTATTTGCTTTGCGAAAAAAAAAACGCTGGCTCGTAAAATATCTTGTCAATTGCTTTGGGGTGGTAGAGTAGGTTGTTTTTTGTTAGTTGTCTCCGATCTGGCGACAAATACATTATCACTTACCATTGAAGCGGTCTTCATCAGCAGCGGCAGACATTCAAGAGTTGGCGTTGATGGATTCGCTGCTATAAGTTAATTGATGGTTGTTTCTACTTGGGGAAATTGTTGGACGGCGGCTTTGTATTAGAAAGAAATTCAAAAAATTCGTATGGATAGGGATCGATTGGTGTAAACGATTGCTGATCGAATCCAATCGGCGGTTCAAATGGGGCTGTAGTTGGAGGTGTAAATGGAGTGTATCGGTGGATTGGTGGACCATATTCATTGGGCCCCCAAGGCACAGATTGTGCCATTGAGGGTTGTCCCTGCTGCAAGCTAATGGGATATCGAGGTGCACCTGGCATTGGAGCTGTTGCTGGTACTCTCTTAGCTACTGGTGCAACAACACGTGTTGGTGGTCGCCCTCTCCTCTTGGGTACAAAATCAGCAGCTGGCACTGCTGGTGTGGGTGGAATAGATGGCGTCGTGTTAGGTTCTTTCTTAACTTGAATCAGTCCATTCTCGTCTCTTTTACGTGCAGCAGGCCGTCCAGTTGGGACTGGACATGGAGCTGTTGGTATTTTATATGTGGGCTGACGCGGAGCTGGCTCAGCAGGTTTGACAGGCTTGAGGGTTTTCGATTCCTCTTTCACAGCTAATGAACGTTTTAGAATTTCCCGGATATTCTCATCTGCACAGGTTGTCATTGGATTGACCGACGGTTTGGGTATGAAGGTCTCTGGAAGTGCCATCACCGTCTTGGGAGGCCTGCCTCGTCGTTTAGGAGAAGCCTTCTTCTTTGGCGACTTCAAAGGAGCTCTTCTGGTATAAGCACGCTTCTTCCTGGGCGGCTCTCCATTCGCTGAAGCTTCCGTAGCGGGCTTCGGCACCGCCGGAGTGCGCTTGGTATATTTGCGTTTCGGCTTAACTGCCGGTACACCGTTATTATCGACAGGTTGCCCAGGTGCTGGCAGTGGAGCCGACGTAGCTGGGGCCGTAGCAGGCACGCCCGAAGCCACTGAACTAAGTAAGTTCGGGTTCCCAGGCCCCCCAAGAACGGCTGCTGCACCAATTGGGGCATTGGGATTAGCAGTTGGCTCTACCACCTTCTTCTTTCGCGGTCCATATGGCTTGCGAACACCCTTAGGCTTCGGAGCCACTGGCACGGCATTGATAATTTCACCATTGGCGGCGGCAGCGGCGGCGGCGGCGGCGGCCGCTGCTTCTCTTTCCCGTTTAAGGGGGGCTCTGCGGACGTATTTGCGCTTTTGGCGTGGAGGTTCCACGATCGGTTTCTGGTCGATGTTGATGACGTTAGGCTTTATGTCGGGCACTGCTTGGGGCTCTGCCTTGACCACTATTTGGGGCTCTGCTTTAATCACTGGTTGGGGCTCTAGTTTGACCACCGTTTGGGGCTCTACTTTGACCACCGTTTGGGCAAATGTTTCGATCCTTTTTGGGGCAAATGTTTCGATCCTTTTTGGGGCAAATGTTTCGATCCTTTTTGG